CGGTTGTGATGATGAACGGCACCAAAATCTCCTCTAATTATGGAAAGCCATCGGAGGCTTACCGGTAGCGCTTATGGCATAACAGGAGCCACATTTGTTCCGCGAAGTAGATTGCTTCCTGACTGGAGCCAAAGCACCAGCGGCTTCCCAGTCAACCGACGGAGGAGCTGCTATTTCGTCTTGTGGGTCTGAGGGAATCTTTTTGCTTCCGTGGAACAAGAGCAAGGTGATAGTACAAGTCGCATTGACTGAGCGCAGGTTTTCCTTGAGCTGCGGATCTGTAGCAGACTGGAACGCTTTATCGAATACTTCAGGTGGTACATCGGCATATTCATTGAGGCCGACCTCATGAGTAATATCGCCTGAATAATGAACTTGAGAGGACAGAAGCTTTCATCGCTCACCATTCGCTCTCAATTCCTCTATTTCCCTCACGCTTTGTGAAAAAGCAGCCTTCGCAACCTGGTACTGCTCATCCGTCTCATACTTCTTGCTGTAACTTCAAAAATTACGATAGGCGATGGAAGAGCTAGAGGCTGGAGGGAACGGATCATCTCACTCTCTCATGAAGTCCTGGAAGGCCTGGTCGATATCCACCAGTTGATCATCTCGACCCGATCCTCTGGCGATAGTCTGAGCCATAACGATAAGGTGAAGAGCTCCGGCGGTGAACCACATGATGGCGAGGTGCTGATTGAAAGCAACAGAATAAAAGCCTGCCAGCGTCAGACAGTCTGAGTCAGACTAGGAGACAGAGTATTTCATAAAAACTGGAAAAACTGCTTTTAAAGGCGCAAAACTAATTAAAAATTTCTGCGATCTCCGTGCGGAACTAAAAAACTCAAGTATATCTCGCTACTCTAATACTTATTGTAAACACGACGGGGAAAATGTGTAGATAATCGGGAATGGTCCCCGATTATCCATTGTGAAACTGCGCTTGCACGGTCTGCGCACGCGTGCAGCGTTCATAATTCACGCAAAACATAACTATTCCATGCAACATGTACTAATCCATCATAAAAAAAACTAAATCTATGCAATCTATACAATGCTAAGCAAACAATGGTATTGCGGGCAAATGCGCTATGCTATGCAACAGGTACGTGATGCTTAGTTTAGTATTCTACTTTCAAGTAATACTGATGAGTGATTTCTGAACGTAATTTTTGATCTGAGATTTACACATTTTTGCGTGAGAATTAATAACATGATGTTACTAACATTAGCTCACTGGCAACACGATCACGCAAGTGTCATAGTCCACGTCATGAAACACTGACTGACTGACTGAACACTGCGCATGAGAGTACATCCATGAAACGAAAAGTACCTTAATCATGGTTGTCTCGTAAAACCAAGCCAGTCGTGAAATATCAGGTCGCCTTGTCACCTGCAGGCTGCGGCGGGGCAACGACAGTCCATTCTCTTGGGCTATGACTCGTTTCAATCCTCAGATTTGGTGCATGTGTTTTTTACCCGTGGAGGTCTGCAACCAAAATTCAACATCCTTGGCCGGTAGCTCTAGACGGAGGGTCTGTCCGGAATGTAACGTATCCATGCCCAAGATCCTTGGTGATTGAGAACATCTTGATGTTTGGTACAAAGCAATCCTTATATAACACGAGTCGGTGAATGCAGATTCTATCT